GAGCGAGGAAAGCACAGTGGCAATTTCAGGTTGTGAAAGTACTTTCTGGCTGGCGCTTTGGCTCACTAGGCTAATCCTCCGCCTGCAGCGCTGGCACTCAGGGTTCTAGTCCTGGTAGGGGCGCCAGTTCTGTCCTGGTCGCTCCTCCTCCAGTCCAGCTCTCTAATGTGGCCGGAAAGGCAGTGGAGCATGGCCCAAGTGCTTGGGCCCTGCACCCCATGGGAGACCAGGAGGAGCACCTGGCTCCTGCCATCGGATCAGCGCAATGCGCCGGCCGCGGCGGCCTTTGGAGGGTGAACCAACAGCAAAGGAAGACCTTTCTGTCTGTCTGTCTCTCTCACTGTCCACTCTGCCTGTCAAAAAATAAAAAATAAAAAAAGAGACAAATGTATAAAACAGCTTCACTGAGGCAGAGGGGGACATGCAGTCGCCTAAGTCTCCCTGGAAATGAGTAAGTCCTGCAAGGCGAGATCCAAACAGATGTGCATGAGCACTGGGGCTCATGATGTAACGGCACACGGGGTGAGGGTTGACAGTCACCATCCTTCCGTGTATGTGTATGCTAAACAAGTCACAGATGGTGGATGACGAGATCCACGTTTCTTGACCAACCTCTGTCTATGCAGATTACCTACCTGTGCCACCTGGATACCTGGCCTGAGCCCATTCAGAAATGTTAAGATTTGTGGGGCAAAAATTGCCTGGAAAAGATAAAAAAAAAAAAGAAAAGAAAAGGAAAAAAAACCACTGAGGATACAATTCCTTCTCCAAAGAACACGAGTAACCTGCCAATCCCCCCAGCTGCGGGATGCAGAAATCAGAAACACATTGCTCCTGGCCGTCGCCGCGGCTCACTAGGCTAATCCTCTGCCTTGCGGCGCCAGCACACCGGGTTCTAGTCCCGGTCAGGGCACCAGATTCTGTCCCGGTTGCCCCTCTTCCAGTCCAGATCTCTGCTGTGGCATGGGAAGGTAGTGGAGGATGGCCCAAGTGCTTGGGCCCTGCACCCCATGGGAGACCAGGAGAAGCACCTGGCTCCTGCCTTCGCATCAGCGCGGTGCGCTGGCCGCAGTGGCCATTGGAGGGTGAACCAATGGCAAAAGGAAGACCTTTCTCTCTGTCTGTCTCTCTCACTGTCCACTCTGCCTGTCAAAAAATAAAAAAAAAAACACATAGCTCCCAGCCACTCATCACCACAGACCTTCACGTAGCCTCACACAGCACACGCAAGGGCATGCTTCAAAACTGAAGCCCCCACAGAATCCCAAGCAACACAGGCCACTGTGCCACCACTCAAGTTCTTGCATGAGCGTGGCACGTCACAGTGGACTCCCACAATCAGAGACAGAGTCACCAACGTGGACTCACCCAGCGTGGAGCACAGGGTCTGCAGGCACCGCCTACAGAGAGGCACCTCAACCCCGCTCAGAGCCCCACCAAGAGAGTGTGTCTCACACCCTCAACCAGAGGATGCAGCTCCAGCCTCGGGAGTGAAACTGCCGTTTCACTTTGGAGCTTCAGCGTCAGAAGGCCAGGGGCCGTTAAAGGCCATCTGGGGGGAGGAACAGTCACTCGGAAGCGGCCCTAACAGTCGGTGAGACAGGCAGGGATGGGCACCTGAGCTTCTCGGCTCTTGGGCTCTGCTCTGATAGCTTCTGACATGATCAGGCCACGAGTGTCAGAGGGGCCATTGGGCAAATGGTAGATTCAATTTTAAGAAATAGAAAGGTTTCTGTAACACCCCTGAGATGCACCTGCACCTGCCTGGTGGAGAGCAGGCAGTGATGATGTCTCAAGTGGGTAGAGTGAGACATAAACGTGTATAGGCATGTTGTGTTCTGTACCTTCGGGTAGGTCTGGAGTGCGTCTGGTGAGGGCTGCCTGCTAACGGGAGGGATGTGTCTAATACCCTCCGTGCTTCTCCCAAGTCTGTTGATACTGCTGACGTTTAAATGGCACGCACATGGGTGAGATCTTCAGAAAGCTCACAAAAAGACTTGTTACAAAAAACTCTGGATTTCAAAGATTTGTACACTAAAGTTATCTTAACCCATTTCCATGAACTTTTCAAAGTAGCCTTTTATCACTGCGAGGAAATGAGTCAGTTAGAAGTTTACGATAGGTGTTAGTGATTTGCATGCTTCACAGGCAGTAACGATGTGAGGGGGAGAGGACCTCTGGGATGAGAGCAGCGGATACGCCTGTCCTTTGGCCAGTGCTGAGGCAGGACGTGGCCGTGTGTGCTCTCAGAGGTCTCCCAACAGCCCCGCCGGAGTGCGCTTGGCTGTGGCTCTTCACTGTGGCTGTTGCAGATGAAGGCCCCGACTTCTTGGTGCACAGGCAAGGACGCGGCCAGGGCCATTCAACATCCGTGCAAGGCTGACTCCTTGGCGCTGTGTCCAGGGTGGTAAATTAAACGTATTACAAACAAGGCAGGCAGCGTGGTCTCCGTGATTAGCCACAGTGACTGTCTGGAATTGAGATTGAGGTCTGGCTGCAGGAGAGGGGAGGTGTTTATGTATTTCAACGAGAGAGAGCCTGTAACACCGAGGAGAGGCTGCAGTGAGCATACTAATGGGAGTGACAGTAATGAGATTCTATGTATTATAAGCACTGACAATTATGCTCTCATTACTAAAATACACAAAGGGAATGAGCACAATTATGTAGCAGACACTACGGGACAGTGAACTTATTATACAATCTGTATTGTCTTCAAAAGTTTGCTGCTAAATTTTATGCTTTATGGGAACAAAATTAAGCATTTTTCCTTCCTACAGCCCCGTGAGATGTTCAGAAACAAATGTTGGAAGACGTTGGGCTACCAGACTTTAGATTTCCACACTTCTGGGTGTTTTTTCTCCGATGCCCCTTAGGAATTTGGGATGAGGAATGGAAAGGGGACGGTGTGAGGGAACCCAAGCCCCCCCGGGCTACGTGCGTGTGTTGGTTATCTGTTCCCGTGTTTACGTGATAGTGTGAATCCACTTAAACCCAACAGGTTTAGATTCCGGCGATCTTTCTCAACTTGCTTATTCTTAGTATGAGGGTCTGAGGCCTCTGGAGATTAAGTGGCCTGAACTCAAACTGAGCCAGGAAGAGGAGAGGTCCCTGCGTCCTGGTGATTCCTTCCATGGATTCCGTCACACACTTGGAGACCGTCATGACCCCAGTGCCTTTTGTCTGGGACGACCAGAGCCTGGGAGCTGCAGTCAACACCGTGCGTCTCCAACTCTCCACTCTCATTACTCCACTCATTACTGTGGATTCCAGGACACTGACCAGCCGGGTGACCTTCCAGAGCCCCTGCCTAAAGGTGCTATGAGAGATACAACAAACTCTGCTAATTTGTCTTTGTGGGAGTGACTTCATGGACAGTGGCCCACAATGATCAACACAAGTAGAAGGCCAGTTATTAAACACTAACTGTATGCCTGTTACAATATGCACATGCTGTGTGTCATACTTGGAGTGAATTTGGAAGTAGGAGAATGGACCATTCATTTGGAACTGGGACCATGAGTCAGCAAAATAACTTTCTTCAGTTCATTCGCGCTGTGGCTTAATGTTTGTAAAGAATGAGAAAAAGGACAGTGGGCCTGGTGGACTTTTACGTCCTGCCAGCTGGAGTGGCTGAAGCTACTGTTTGGGGAAGCTACTGTCATTTGGGATAGGAGGAGGGGTACAGGATATGTCCTGGTTATGCCTTCTGTCCCCCAAAAGCCAACATCTGTGCGTCAGTCTGGTTCCTGTGGAGGGGACCACCGGCCTCCTTGCTGTCTGGCTTCTGGGAGGAAGCCCTGGCAGGAGAGGGCAGGCAAATGCAGAAAGAAGCAGGGCTCTTTTGCGTGGACAAATGTGCTTGCCCGTAGAAAAGACCTGCGTGCTTTAGTTCCCAGGCACTCAGTGTCTCGTGCTCCTGTGTCGCTGGACTCTGCCTACATCCCTTGCTGTCACCCAGGGGTGACACCGAGGACTAGTCTAGACTCAGTCTCTCCTGGTCTTGTTCCCTTTCATCCCGCCCATGCCTTTCTACTAAGCCTCCTGGGTGGGGGGCACCCCCTCTGTGCTGCCTTGCTTTCCTGCCGGGATTCTCTTTTACAACACATGACCTCATTCCAGAGGGTGGCTTCCTCCTGTGGCTCCATGATGGTTTGAAGTCAGTGACTGAAATGCAGTGAAGTAACGCACCTGTTCAGTGGCCTCCTGGGAGGACCTGTGCAGACCAGGTCCCTGGAGGTGCACATTCTCGTGCACCTGTTGAAGTACCCCCCCCTCCCTGCCACCTGCCCTGCTTTGCTATCGAGCTTCACATACAGCAAGAACATATGGTTAAGGAACAACTGCACATTTTGTGTGATTTTCCTGGAGCAGCTGGCTCTCTGGCTAGACTCTCTGTTCAGCGACTTGGGTCATCTTTGATTGTATGGCTTCAGCCTCATCACACGCACTCTGCACTCCCTAGGCTGCTCTGTGACTTTGATGAGTCCCTGCAGGCTCCGTGACATTGCCTTGAGTATGTTCACGTGTTGGCATCTTGCTTGGCTTTGTCTTGTGTTTTCAAACTGCCTTCTGATTCTAGACAGCAAGCCTGTCCTGCAGGGACAAAAGGAGGAGCAGGGCAGCCTGGCTTAAGACTGCAGTAGTGAATTCTCTCTGGAGACAGTGGCAGGGGCTTTGTGACCTGTATTACCCTGGAGGTCTCTGGGGGCAGCATTTAAGTCACAAAGCCCTCTGTTTGCTGCGGATGAGAAGCCAAACGGCTTCCCCTGGAATCACCTGGCTCCTTTCCTGCTGAGCTCACTTGACGACAGTCTGTTTTCTGCTCTGCCAGCCCCAGGTCCCTGTCCAGGCGGCCTCCCTGCTCTGCAGTTATTTCTGAAGCACAGCTAGAGGGCGCTGCAGACTACATCGCTCTTTATTATTGTATCCGCATCCCAGGAGATCAGGCTGCACCCGGGTTCTCTGTTAGACTGAGAAGATTCAAATCGGATAAAAATAGCTGTTGCTGAGGCCAGGACTGGGGGTGTATTCGCTTTCCTGCATTCCTCGCTGGTCTTGTTGCCCAGGCTCCCTGGCAAGGATGCAGGGCTGATGAACCAGCAGTGCCTTTCCTGCCAACCGCCCCTTCGCTCGGATCCAGGTTGGTCTCCAGGGCACCTCAGCTCCAAGACGGGAACCTGGTCTCCCCGGTGCTCCTATCTGTGCCTTTCAGACCCTGCGAACCTGTAAGGGCCTCATCGTCTCCTTTGCTTTGCTGCACAGTCAGGAAAAATGGTCCCTGGGGAATTTCTGCTCAAAATCACGAAGCCTTTGGTTTTTGTTCATCTGTGCGGGCCCCTTGACTGCTGCTTCATCTGTCTCGGTGGTTAATCTTGCTACCAGCTCCTTAAGCAGTGATGTTTTCCCTTTATGAATATTAAAGCCAGCCTAGCAGTGCAGAACTCTCCCTGAAATCCACATGCTCGCTCTCTCTCTCTCTCTCTCTCTGTCTCTCTCTCTCTGTCTCTCTCTCTCTCTCTCTCAGGTTTACCTCAACTTTGTTCATTTTCCTTTATCTTCGTAGTCGCTATTTAGGCTTTTTTTTTTTTGACAGGCAGAGTGGACAGTGAGAGAGAGAGACAGAGAGAAAGGTCTTCCTTTTCCGTTGGTTCACCCCCCAATGGCCGCTGCAGCTGGCGCGCTGCGCTGATCCAAAGCCAGGAGCCAGGTGCTTCTCCTGGTCTCCCATGGGGTGCAGGGTCCAAGCACTTGGGCCATCCTCCACTGCACTCCCTGGCCACAGCAGAGAGCTAGACTGGAAGAGGGGCAACCAGGACAGAATCCGGCGCCCTGACCGGGACTAGAACCTGGTGTGCTGGCGCCGCAGGCGGAGGATTAGCCTACTGAGCTGTGGCGCAGGCCAACTATTTAGGTTTTGCAAACAGTGGCCAGGTGCTGGGAACACTTTGGTGTGAGGTCGCCTTGCCTCTTGCAGCCATGTGTGTGAGTCAGAGTTTGAGCTTCCCATGCTGGCCCCTTGGGAACTTCAGCCAGGGAGCTCAGGGCTCTGGGGCTCTGTGGTTCCAGAAGGGTGGACACCTCATGGGCTGTGCTTGTGAATCTATGGCTTCTGTCAGTGAGGGTGAGTGCTCTTTCTTGGCTGGGAGCCAGAGCTATTGCCTCATCATCTCCCTGCAGAACAGCTGGTTCCTGAAGCGAGCAGGAGCTGGAGGGGAATCAGCAGGCACACACGTCTCTGCACAGGTCCCATTGTCTCGTTCGCTGGGCAGGCTCACTCCTAACAGGGCCCAGCTCCCCCAGGGTTACGGCACTCCCCCCAGGTTACTCTGCCTGGAGGAAGGACAGAAGAAAGGCAAGTAGACGGACAGCTCCTTTCTGTCCCGGTGTCTGGACTGACAAGTGGAATGAATGCACAGAGCTGTGTCCCTGCCTTGTAGTGGAGGCAGCTGCTAGGTGTCTGCCCAGCTGCCAGCACCACACCACAGGGGTATGTTTGACTTGCCCGGTGCTGTGGGTGGACCCAGTCATGTGATGGGCAGGTGAGAGCCAGGGTAGGCTTGGTGCTGGTCCTGGAATGCTGCTTCCCATGAGAAGGCTCCTGGCAACTGCTGTGAATTCAGACATAGGAAGCCTTGGCCTTGGCTTTCGCCCCACTCCTTTCCCATCCCCTTTGGACCAAGCGGGGACAGCAGTTGCCCTCCTCATGTAGGTTTGTCCATCTTCCCAGCATGCATCTCCTTCTTCAATTGGGGGGGGCACTGACTGATGTCTTGCGGGGTCACCAGACAGGAGGCTGCCCTTCTCCTGGTGCACAGTGAACAAGAAAACAAACCAAGCATCACTGGACTGTGGTCCCTGGAGAGACCCAGAGAAGGAAAAGAAGTGAGTCTGCTCTTGGCACAGTGCTCCCCAGGCCCTGCTGGCCTGACTTCTCGGGGCGGCCCCGGGTCAGACTCTGCACAGCTCACTCCTTCAGCTCTGGATGCACGCGGAGCTTTGGTAACTGTCACTCACCCCGGGACGGTGCTCGTTGCTCAGCTTCCTTCCCATCTTGGGCTCCTCCGTTCCCCTTGTCCTACCTGCTCAGCCTGTCTTCTGGGCCAGCCAGAAGCACGCCCGCCCACGGCTGACACATCTCTGCAGTTGCTCACGCGCCTGCATCTGAGTCCCTTGGCCCGGCTCTAACTTCCCACGTGTGCTGTCCTTGCTTTGTTTCCAAGGGAGGAGGGGACACCTAGAATAGGAGCAGAGCAGAGGAACTGGTGATTGATTGGTGTCTCAGGTTTTTCCTTTTGAAATACAAATGTAAAATAAATAAGATGTGAGATCTTTTCCATTTCCTTTTTTAAGGGTTATTTATTTATTTGAAATGCAGAGTTACAGAGAGGCAGAAGCAGAGAGAGAAGGAGAGAGATCTTGCATCTGCTGGTTCACCCCCCAGATGGCTGCAGCAGCTGGAGCTGGGCTGATCCGAAGCCAGAAGCCAGAAGCCAGAAGCCAGAAGCCAGAAGCCAGAGCACCTTCCCAGTCTCCCAAGCACTTGGGCCGTCTTGCACTGCTTTCCCAGGCCATAGCAGAGAGCTGGATTGGAAGAGGAGTGGCTGAGACTAGAACTGGTGCCCATAAGGGATGACAGCACTGCAGGTGGCAGCTTTACCTGCTACGCCACAGCACCAGCCCCAGTCCTTTCTATTTCTAATGTTGGATACTTCAAACCCCGTATGAACTTCATCTGTGTTCTTGACCCACAGCAGAACGTGAGCATTGCAACTCAGGCCAGAGAACAATGTCCTTGGATACCTGCTGCCAGGCTCGGCCTCTCCACAGCGGTCGTGCCAGTCATGGACATCCTGGTCTCAGAGCGGTGTCTGAGCAGGGAGGGAACAGATCAGGCCCAGAGTGGGACCAGACAATGCCGCCTTCATGCTTGCTGGCCCAGCCCTGCCTTCCTTTGTCTCCGGGGGGTGTGGCTCCCATGTGCCCCGCCCCCTTTTCTTCACTCACAGATGACGAGTCTTCCTGTTCCATTGGTCCGAGTCACGTTTAGATGGTTGACCCGGTAGAGGGAGCCGTTGGAGAATCTGCTTTACATGTTTGTCATTGATGTGGGTGTGTTGTGGGGGAGGGGGGTATTAATATTTTTTACTCTGGCCGTTGTCACGCACAAAGATAAGACTCCTAAGTGCTGATGTATATAAGGGGAATTTGACTCAAAAGATGAGAAAGTGAACACAGACACACACACGTAAGCGTGGGTTGCCCCGTACAGAGAAACATCTGTTATGAGTGGGTGGTAGGCCAGAAGGGCTGGAGGAGGGGAGACAGAGAGGTGGCCTGGCAGTCTCTCCAGTCGTGGTCTCCAGGGGAAGGGAGGCTCCCCGCTGCGGTTGGTCTCCTTTGTGAGCTTAGGGCGGTGCCTCTCAGATGTTAAGCCACCCAGGGATTCTGTGGCACCTCAACAAATTCCGTGTGGAGCTCAGTAGTCCTACTTCCGTGGTGTCTTCCCCCAGGCCCCGATGAAGCGCATGCACCCCAGGAAAGGGGAGGTTTGATTGACAAGCAGAAGAGAGAATTACACACTGTGTGTCGGGAGTTGGCTTGCAGGTTCCTCCAGCTCAGCAGACCGACCTCGCTGCCTGCCTAGCATATGGCCATATGCTGTTGAAACTGGTCATGCTGTTAATCACGGGAAAGCAAGAGGGTCCTTCAGAAAGCTTACAGAAAATGCTTTCTATAAAAAACTGTGCATGGATTTCAGAAATGTTTGCACCAAAATAAACTTACCTTCAATTCCATTTTCTGAAGACTTCTGGAAGTACCCTGTAGATGCCCGTGTTTCTGTGTCTGCCCTTGGCTTCCTTTTCTGATGGATTAGTGCTGACTCCCATCCTGTATCAGTTGCTGTGCGGGTCTTATTTAATTTGATTTCTCCTCTCACCCCCGCCATTTAACCAGCATCCTCAGACATGAAAAATCATTTAAAAATTCCTTTGCAGTAAGGTTATAAGAATGCTGGAGTTGGATCTGAGCTGTTTTCATGGGAAACCTGTCAGTCACTTTGACAGGCAGGCAACTTTCTCTGTGTGTTTTTCCTTTGCTTCTGCCCTCTGAGGGCTGGTGGGGGCTTCAGTTTCTGTGAGGGAACAGCCCTATGTTGTTGGCAGAGATCCCTCGATTCCGTTCTCTGTTCTGTCTACAAACATCCACATTTTTTTTCAGGTTTACCAGCTAACTGTATGGTCTGTGAGCACTGATTTTTCTTGCCTGGGGTGCTTGTGAACAATGCTTGGTTTATAATTGAAGCCTGCACTGGAATGAGCTGATCTCTCCCCTGCCATGTTAGACTGTGATGAAAACAGGTTTGTACTTGGCTTCTAGGAGACCCCTGGGGCCACTTGGGTTGATTGATTGATTTCTTCTTTCATCAATGAAGCAAGTTTCTCTTGAGTGTCTACCTTAGGTCAGATAGTGCCTAGGGCTTGGGGAACACCAGGAGCCTTTAGGAGGTTCGCAAAATATTTATTGTAAAAATATGCATCTCAAAGGATGCAGATAAAGCATTTGATAAATACAACATCCTTTCATGATAAAAACCTTAAGCAAAATGGGCATAGAAGGAACATATCTCAACATAGTCAAGGCAATATATGACAAACACACAGCTGGCATCATATTGAATAGGGAAAAGCGGGAAGCATGCCGCTAACATCTGGAACCAGACAAGGATTCCCACTTTGACCATTGCTATTCAGTCTAGTTCTAGAAGTTTTAGCTAGAGCAATTAGGCAAGAAAAAGAAATCAATGGGATACAAATTAGAAAGGAAGAAATCAAATTATTCCTGTTTGCAGATGACATGATCTTATATATAGGAGAACTGAAAGACTCCATTAAGAGACAGTTGGAACTCATAAAAGAGTTTGGTAAAGTTGCAGGCTATAAAACCACACACAAACAAATGCAATGGCTGAGAAAGAACTTGTAAGATAAAGTTATTT